ATACAATCATCTAAAAGCCCGTGGGCCAGCCCACTACATATGGTTCGTAAGGCCAATGGCGACTGGCGGCCATGTGGGGATTACAGGTTGTTGAACGCGCATACTGTTCCAGATAGATATCCAATTCCAAATATAAAAGATTTTACATTTATTGTTGCCAATAAAAAAATATTTTCAAAGATTGATCTCGTTAAAGCATACCACCAAATTCCAGTTGCGCCTGAAGATATTCAAAAAACAGCCATTATCACTCCTTTTGGCCTATTTGAGTATCTTAAAATGCCGTTTGGACTAAGAAATGCCGCTCAAACCTGTCAAAGATTTATTCATCAGGTCACAAGAGATTTAAATTTCTGTTTTTCATACCTAGATGATTTCTTGGTAGCCTCAACAGATGACAACGAACACAGGGAACACTTGCGATTATTATTCAAACGGCTGCAAAATCATGGAATAGTTATTAACCCTAACAAATGTGAATTTGGAAAAACGTCTATAGAATTTCTTGGCTACCTAGTAACTAATGAAGGTATCAAGCCAACCCAGCAAAAAGTAGAAACTATTATGAGATATCCAAAACCGAAGGATATAACAGCACTTCGAAGATTTTTGGGAATGATAAATTATTATAGAACCTCCATTCCACAGATTGCCAAGCTACAAGCCCCACTGAACGAATTTCAAAAAGGAAACCCGAAAAGAAAACAACTTTTAGAATGGAATCCCGAACAAACAGAAGTGTTTCAAAAATTTAAAAAATCCATAGCCGACGCTGCCCTATTAGCACATCCGTTTGCAGACCTTCCCGTAACGTTAACAGTTGATGCATCGGATGACGCAATTGGTGCGGTAGTAAACCAACATGAAAACACTCAGTTTAGACCTTTAGGTTTTTTCTCAAAGAAGCTAACAAACGCTCAAAAAAATACAGCACATATGATAGGGAATTGCTCGCAATATATGAAGGTATCAAATACTTCCGGTATTTGTTAGAAGGTAGGGACTTCATAATTTTTACTGACCACAAGCCAATAACTTACGCGTGGAATAAAAATCCTGAAAAGTCTACACCCAGGCATAGCGTGTAGGGTATATAGTATGTCGTTAGTTAGCATGTAAGATTAGATGTAATGAAGTTGATGACATTGAAGTTATTAAAATAAATATTTTGAGTTGTCAAACATTTAGTTGTATATAAAAGGCTCTTAAGTTTGCTATACTAGACTTCCTTCACTTGTGACAGTTTGTATTTTAATGTATTGTTTAAGCTCATATAATTAATTATATATGTTTATATAAACTGTTCGTCTCAAAATCATTAAAAGAACAATCAAATGCTAAGCGCAATTGCACAAGTAGGAACTGTGTAGATAACAAGAAAATTTCAAAAATAACATTTCATAGGGAAGTATAAACACAGTGCAGGGTTGTATTAAAATAAAATGTTGATATAGTTTTCAAATTAAATGGTTTCTTATCACTTATTCTAATAAGTAAACAATAGGAACTGCATTCTAAATTAGCATACATAGATACTACAGAATTGTAGAGAAAATAGATCATGATACATGCCTAATAGATCATTATTATTTGTCTAATAATCTTAACATATCTGATTTTTCGAAATAGATAATCACTTACATTTGAAGATATGTTGTTTATATTTTACGGAAGTCTGTTTTTTGTGAACAGTGTGTAAATATGTTAATTAGTGTAAACACAAATTGAAATATTTTTTCATTCATCTCCAAGATATTTAAGAAAAATTTACAGTGCCCTTCCACTGATGTGATATATATTTACTTAATATCGGAAACAATTATAAAAACTATATATTTATAAATTCGTCTGATTTTTCTATTTATTGTATGCCTTGTGTTAAAAGAATTTATGTACACAAATAGATTAGATTTAATTAGGACTGTGAGCCATGTGGCATCCCCCACCTCGACTTTTTCAGATCTATTGTGGATATCCTTTAATCGTTGTTTAGTAGTTGCTGGGTGAGTTAAGGCGATAGTCATTTTAAATACTCTTTGGCCTGGCTCTGTGCTGGTTAATTTTTCCACTATTCCTGAGGTTTTTTAGACATCCACTGTTTTGTTCATGTTCTGATAGCTATCTTTGTAACACTACACAAGGGTTTTGGGCCAAAAAGAGCCTTTTTGAGACTGCTTCTTGCGCCCCAATAAATGAGCCATATTATTTAAGTATGAATATAAAGTAGCATTATATTCCAAGGTTTGAACGAACGTAGCATCTCCTTCAATATCCTACATCCATGCACATTTGGCGTCTCCCATAGAAGTTTGGGCGCCCCAAAGTCTTCACCCTCTCCGCCCTTTGGCCCACGCTACGCCACTGCCTAGCCGTTCACCTTAAGGTGATTACAGCACCTCTTATAATTTTCGGACAAGCATATCTCAAAAAGTAATTTTTTTAAAAATTAAAATTTTGGGAAATTAAATTAGGCAATAATATCTAAAATATACATATATTTTAAAGTTTTAATTCCTTCCAGCTTCCAAGAAAAAAAATAAAGGGCTTTAAATTTTAAAATATATTGAAAATAAATGCATTCCTCAACAGCACTATTCTTAATATAAACTTCAAATTTAAGCTCTTCGCCAAAATTAGTGGCTAAGACGCCTCGGCGAATTTTAAAAATCATTAACAAGAGATTAAGAGCTTAAATTTGGGGATTATATTAAGAATAGTGCTGTTGAGGAATGCTTTTATTTTCATTATATTTCAAAGCCCTTTGATTTTTTTTTCTTGGAAACTGAAAGGAATTAAAACATAAAATATATGCATATTCTAGATATTATTGCTTTATTTATTTTGCCAAAATTTTAAATTTTTAAAAAAATCACTTTTTGAAATATGCCTGTCCGAAAATTATAAGGGGTGCTGTAATCACCTTAACGACAAAGAACCCCGCACAAATCTTATGGAATTTGGCTCCCGGTCAAATTGGCTGAAATTTGGATATGTTGTTCGTTTCGGCATCCTGAGCAAAAGTCTCAATGGGCACAAAACTCAATTTGGCTTATTTTGGTTCCTACGGAGCTCCAAATCTCCACGGATTGACCATTATTTACTATTTAAACAGGCAATCTCCTCGAAAGTTTAGTATTTGCTGCGTAAAAAAAGAAGTACCTTCTTATGTTTTCGGGGTCGCTGCGTTTAGATCCATTGCCAATACAATAATATTGACAGTTGACAGCTGTCAACTAGCAGTCAAACAACACTCAATAATCAAAATTAAAAAATTCACATGTAAATATCTGTTTTTGAGGTAGCCGAGTTCAAAATTGATGTTAGCAACTCGATATTGTCAGTTGACAGCTGTCAACTAACTGTCAAACAGTATGTGACAATCAAAATTGACAAAATTCAGGAGTAAATAGATGTCCTCGAGGTTGCAGAGTTTAAAATTGATGACAAAAAGACGATATTGACAGTGATCAGCTGTCAACTAACTGTCAAACAGCATGTGACAATCAAAATTAATAAAATTCACATGTAAATGTATGTTTTTGAGATCGTTAAATTCAAAACTGATGGTGAGAAAAACCATATTTTAAAAACAAGTGAAGCTTGCTTGCTGCCACCTCATTGTTCCTCTAACGTGACACATTATCATGCAGAGTCAAATATTTAATTAACGATAGTACTTAACTGTCAATATCGTCTTTTTGGCATCAGATTACAATTAGGCAACCTTAAAGACATATGCTTACATCTCAATTTTATCAATTTCAATTGTTACATACTGTTTGACAGTTAGTTAACAGCTGTAAACTGTCAATATCCAGTTGTTAACATCAGTTTTGAACTTACCAACCTAAAAAACAGATATTTACATGTGGATTTTATCAATTTTGTTTAATGCTTGTGGCTTGACAGTTATTTGACAGCTGTAAAATGTGAATATCGCTTTTTTACCATCAGTTCTGAACTCAGCAACCTCGAAGACATCTATTTACTACTGAATGTTGTTAATTTTGATTGTCACATACTGTTTGACAGTTAGTTGACAGCTGTCAACTGTCAATATCGAGTTGTTAACATCAGTTTTGAACGTACCAACCTCAAAAAAATATTTACATGTGGATTTTATCTATTTTGATTATTGCTTGTTATTTGACAGCTGTCAACCGTCAATATTATATTGGCATTGGATTTGAATGCGGCGACCCCGAAAACATAAGAAGGCAGAAAATACTAAACTTTCGAGGAGATTACCTTTTTAAGTAGTAAATAATGGTCAATCTGTGGAGATTTGGAGCTCCGTAGAAGCCAAAATAAGCAAAATTGAGCTTTATGCCCATTGAGATTTTTGCTCAGGATGCCGAAATGAACAAGATATCCAAATTTCAGCCAATTTCCATAACATTTGTGCGGGGTTCTTTGGCCGGATCTCATTGTTCTTTAGAAGGCATAGGTAAACAATGGAAAGAGGTAGAGGTACATGCGCATAGTACATTTTACTCGCATTCAAGCTGAATAATGGCCTCGCGCTCATACAGCGAAACTTTTTTCGTGTCAGGTGGATGTTTGGCTCTTCCGGTTGGTCTGACTGCTTACAAAAGGTCTTAAGGTAGTGTATGAAGTAACATATATAAAATTTAGGCTTGTCACTATGACGCAGATTACCTCATTTTATTTACGAGGCTTAAAGCGTCTAGCAGAAATTAGGATCCACGAAAAATATCTGCTATAATGGATGTTGGTTTTTTACCAATAATCTGTAACATAAATAAAAACAGGCTATTTTATACTTTAACGTAGACGAGTAAGGTTTCTTTGTACCTGTTACTAGTAAAAAGGCACCGTTTTCAAGTTAGCAAGTACGCATACGTTCTTAAGTACATATTCTATATACTCTCCAAATTTTAGCTATTCTAAAATTACGTAGGTCTGGAGGAAAAAGGGCATCTTACTCTACTACTTGGATGACATACATTTAGTTTTTCATAGGAAAAATTAATTCTTACCTTGTTTTTCATAATAGAACTCAATAGCAGCTGCACCTTTAAATGTATTAACTAGACATTCAGCTGGTATTGAATAATATTCGTATCCATATTTGTTGTCGTTTACAGATTTTATAATTTTATTTTTGTGTAAATAAATAATTAAAACATAAGTTTTGTCATTCACAATTATGTTAGTTTTGATACAATCTGGAAATAATTTATTTTCGGCAATATGGTGTAATTTCAAATCTATATCGGTGATGGGATATCTCTTTTCATTACTAAGATATGCGAAGCCATAGTTAAATCTAAAATATAATAATTGCTATTTATGAAACCAGTTACATAAAACGGCATTTCGTAACGTGTTACATACAGTATTTTTTCTAATTTTGACTAGATAATTTAAAAAATTTAGTTTTTTGTAAAAAATTACTGACATCATGGCAACCAATATTACTGCTTTCTTGTATTGTTAGTTGCATATAATATATTTTATTGATAAATAGAAAATTATATTCATTTATTCTCGACTTACTGTAGTGTGTTTATATTGCTTGTTGAAGTTATTTAGATTTTAAGAAAGTGGGTTATTATTTTGTCGTGTATTGTGTTTTAATTATTTTGTGCTGATTTAGAATAGAACATGAGGACCAAAACAACATTATTACTAGGTCCTGTCATTCTTTGATATAAACTTTCAATAATAATGTATATTATTGATTTTAAAACCAGAAAAGATTTATTTTTATTTGTTTTCTTTTCACAACTGGTGACATAATGAATTTTTCGAAACTAGTTGCGTAAAGTAGATCATTTTGACACTTGCGATTACAAAAAATGTCACTTTATATTATGTCAAAATTAGAAAAACTCATGTATAAATCTTATAACAAAATAGAATATAGATAGGCAAATATGATTTTCTAGCTACATTTGCCACTTTTTACATTCCTGGATGTAAATATTGATTAATTGAAAATATTAAAGAAATAAACTTACTCAGAGCATCCATTCTTAAAAGACTTCGTTGTAATATTAAACATATTTCCATATTCATCACAGATTAATATTCTAATCATTCTTCTCACTAAAAATCTATCAGCAATACCTTTGTACCTTGATCTGCTAGTTGGCAGATTTAAAATTAATTCTTCTGTATAAGAATCCCCTTTGACAAATCCTTTCATTGCACCAAAATACTCAAAACCCATTTGTTCGATCCTATTTAAGTTCAAACGAGAATTTACAATATTAAAAAAAAAACATATTACTGATTTTGATCAATCTTTTCATATAAGAAATTGTGACGTATTTTAGAGTGTACCATTAAAACTAAATGATATTGGTAGAAAAAGAAAAATCATACCTTTACTTACATATCATCTTTCCACGAGCTGTCTCTCCAATATTCTTTAGCTAAGGCTGCTGCATACAAAGAACTATCTATGTCTTGTGGAATGTAAAAAGGTGTCCCAAAAGATGTAAATCTATCAAATAAAAATTGTTTTGAATATTGTAACAAGTAACTTTGTTGAAAGAACAAATGACTTTGTTAGTACTTTTATTTCTTCCTCTTAATCATAAATGAGATATACAAAAATTAAACATACATGAAATTAAATTGGACATGTTCTATTTTGTCATAGTCTACGCAAGATATATTTTTAAGAAGTCCGTTGAAAGTTATTCTAATTTTTCTGTAAGGTTCCAAGGTTTCCAAATTGAATCCAGCAATTTTCCATGAATTTTTTGGTAAATTTGTTTGGTTAATACCTTTGGCTCCTAAAAAAAGGGAAATTCTATTTTATCTTTGTTTTTGATGGTTTTAAATATTTACCTGGAAATACATACGTATTGCCATCATTTAATCTGAGATGTATGCTAGCTTCAGCTATATGATCTACACCAATTTCTAATTTAAAATTTAACGAATTTCCCAATTCGTCAATTCCATAAAAGTGTTGGGAGTCTGTACACTGAAAAGGACAAAATAAGTGTATAAAACTAGAAATAATATTATGAACGATTTAATAATTATTATTTATATCAATGTGTTACTATTTAAAATTAAAAATTAATCAATATATTTTACAAACCTCTGTTGACGATACATTTATTTCCGTCTCTAGTTTGCCACCTAATTTTTTAATTTTATTTTTGTACACTTCCTGGTATGTTTTAACTTCCCTTTTCGCAAAATAAAACTTTGGAATGTAGAGCCAATCTATAAAAGAATAAAATACAAGGGTCATAATGAGAGAGCAGATGTCAGGTTTTTCAATTTGGTTTAAAAATAATTCTTGTTTCTATTAAAACGTCAATGTTACATCCAATAACATTTTAAAATTTATTATATTCAAGACCAAAACGTAAAAAAAAGATCGTTTGGTCATCTGTGCTTATTTATTTTCATAATTTTTAGCTTTACAGCTTTAAATATCAGTGTTTTTAAAATGTAATTCATATGGATCATATTTTACCCAAAAACATTTTGTGAAGGGGAGTAAATGGCCCAATAATTGTTACCCTCCAATTGTAATGATGGCGATTTAACTTTTATAATTAAAAGGCCGGCATATAAAGGTCACCACGGCCGACAAATGGGTCGAAGTCACTTAGCCATCAAATTCAGTTAATAGGCCTCCATTTTCCCTTTAATGTCTAGAAATAAATATGAATTTTCCCTTCAACTACAGCAAAAGGCCGGAAATATCCCGGCAATTGTTTGTTGGGTATGCACTGCGTTGCGTCATGGATACTGATTTCACTAGATAGCCACGCTTCAGTGGTTATTTATTGTAACCCAAGTGAAAATAATTGTTTTAAGTTAAAATAAATGTGGACAAACGCGAATAACATGAAGGACAGCGAAGTAACGATGAATTATATGAGTTTTAATGAACTCGAGAATGGAACTCTTATCTGAATTTGATATTTGGAATAAAAAGGTAAAGGGCCCAAATATTATTCATGGGCAGAGGCTTCAGGGGTAAACGACCATGGACAATCGTAAGTGGGTAGGGTCCGATTACAATAAGATGAACACAGCTACATCGTCAAAAGGCGGAGTAATTCGTTGGTTATCGCCGACTACTGGGGGTTTAATGGCGTGTGTTAATATAAAAATGTAGGAATAATATTTTTATTCTTTATTTATTGATAATTATAGGTGACATATATTGGAAATTCGAAATCATCGTTATGGCGTAGCTGTGTTCTTATTCTAATCGGACTTTACAGGGACCAACTATTTTGATACGGTCATGCTTAAGAGAGTAAATAAGAAATAAATGGGCTAAATATTATTACATGGTCAGGCGTGAGGGGTAAAAGGACCAAATATTTTTACATGGGCCGCCTATAAAGTAGTAAAGGTCCCAAATTTTTGACATGCACAGGTTTGAGGGATAGAAGACCCACATTTTAATAAGTGCATGCGTAAGAGGGATAGGGGCCAAATATTTTTACATGGACAAGCTGAAGGGGTAAAGAGATCAACTATTTTTAAATATGCGAAGTGAAAGGGTAAAGAGACCAAATATTTTTACATAAATTGTTTGACATATCTGAAATATCAACGTCTTTGGTCAAAATTAAATCGTTTCTTTTATGCTACGACTTTGAATGTGGGGCTTAAGTTCAGATAAGGCGGGAACCACAAATTTAGCGTCCCTCGAATTTATATTACCTTTCTTGAAATGGTTAAACATTATGTGGGAGGTCGATTTCCTTGTATTTTTTAGAAAAAATACAGTAGTACAAATTTAATTTTAATGTTTGAATAGTTATATTATGGCTGTGTGAGCAGGCATTTTATTATGGCAGAATGAATTGTGCTTTTATTCTTCTCACACACTCTATAACAACGCACATTAGCCAGACGGCGTACCTCGATCGTATCGAAACTATAGTCCGTTGCAAGATAATCTAGAAAGCGCAATGATCTGGCAACCTTTTGAATCGTTCGCCAACATGCTGATCAGAGCCGGCTTAGGTTGAGTGTTATTTGTTCAAATGTTAAAGATAATTTTTAAAATTTGATTTTTACAAAGATCCTTTTGCGGTCTAAAATGCATTGAAAGAAATATAACATTCATTTCAAAAATACTTTATTTACAATGTGTACATAGGATTTTTAATAACATTTAAAATACATAAAAAATATAACAGCTGAGAACTTGTATTAAAATAAAAAAAAATAACAGAGGTTTTATTTCCAAATAAAACATGTTCAACTAAAAAATATATTCAAAATTGAAACTGACTAAAATTATTAAGTATTAATTCAAAAAGAATATGTTTCACTATTTTGTGGAAATGTAGGTAAATAAATTTAAAAACGTTAATATTTCTAAATCACTTTCACAGTCACTAATTTCATGTTCTGAAATAATATCAGTATATCATCCAGTTCACTTCTGACGATTTATCATCATTATTTTAAAATATCTTAGTACTCCATTGGTCAACTGTCAGAAGTCAAGTAGGAAGACATTAATTTTTTTATGGAATAACACGGAGATAAATTTTATTTACACTCTAACACAATATATATCTCAGCAGAACAATTTCCGTCCTGAAAGGGTGAACATACATTTTCAAAGTTTAATCATTTTCTCAGTTACATTAAGTAAATTTTCAAAATAATATTTTTGCACATTGCAGGAGAGTCTAAATATTAATCTCGTTTAATATGTAATATGTATTTCAATAATATCCGGTGTGTTTTATATTTCTCTTTAAAGAAGGTAAATAGATTACATATTTTATTTCTAAATTTACATTAGTCTGATGATACTAAAAAATGATGTATACATAAAGGGAGTTTCAGAATTTTGTATCAGAGCTTTAATACTCGATAGAACTTTTAAAATTAATACAAAAGTTTACTGCCGTTTTCTACTTACTTGACTTTTTATTGTTCAATGTATACCTACTAATATTTCATCGAATTTATTAAAATTTTTTGAATATTATCATCTGCCAAACAATTTATTGTTTCTATTAATTAACAGATCACCCGTTTTAAGAATGTACAGTAATAATTTAATTTCATTGTAATTAATCGGAGACCTTTTTAAAAAATACATATCATTTTAATCCTTAAATATTACAAGCCACTACAGCAAAACGATGTTCGTAATGGAATGTTTAAATTAAATGCAAAATTTAGAAAATCTTTTATCTATAAAAATAATTATAAATATTTCCGGAATGTATAATCACTTGCTCGAGGATGAATTTATTTGTGTGATTATATTATCACCGTAATTTGTTTATGTATGTATTTTAATGGGCTCGCTCTGGGGCGTAATTAGCATGGGTACACATTAAGTGTATAAGATTATATCCATTCTTACACAGGAAAAACAAATGGGTTTAGTTTTACAATTTGATTGGTACTTGAATAATAAAAGATTACAAGTACCTATCATCTTGGAAATCTCGAGGTAAGTTGACTAATTTCGACTAACCTACAGGATGATATTTTTCTGACTTTTCATCCGATATTAATGCTAATTTATTTAATTAAGTGTATCTATATATGTTTTAATCTACATTATTTATCGATGAAGAATCTCATCAATTTAAAGGTTTTTCTTTAATTGAACTATTCCAGTAATAATTATTTTTTACAAATTAATAGTCAAAAGTAAATCACTTTCTTATAAAAATATTGTTTTCCAAATAACAAAAAAAAAAGACACTGATATTACTAGGGTTAATTAAGAAAATAAAGTGGACGGGATAACAACTGTTAAAATACCCAATTTTTTTGTTATTAGCAATTAAATGCTTGGATGAATTAAAAAATTCTGATTCTCAATTTCAGATATTTAATCAAAAACAAACGTACCATTGAAGTAGCATTCAAAAATAAAAATTTTACAAGATGTTTTATTAATCTTTGTATTTTTACTTTCCTATCTGTATACAGATATAAGGAAAGTATAGGAATCATGATTTTTTTCGACCTCGGGTTTTCGACGGATTTTTACGTTTTGAGGTCCCCTGAATCCGTTTTGACTATTTTCGCGATGATGTCTGTGTGTCGCATAACTCATGAACCGATTCACAGAAAAACACCAAATTTTAAACTTAAGCTCTATTCCATCGTCCAATGAACTGATTAGTTTTTGGGCAGAGTCGGAACATCTGGGGGGGTACTTTATGGGGGGTAATTTTTATATTTTATGGAATATATCTGTTATTTACGTTTGGAGAAGAAAATTCTTCAAATAAAAGTTACTTCTAATATTATCTATAATTTTCCTAAAATGGTCCGTATTCGAGAAATTTGACAAAATGAAAAAAAAAATTTTTTTTATAAAAATTGTTCAAATAAAAGTTGTTTGTAATATAATTCTCTATAATTTTTATTATATACATAATTTCTCTAAAATGGACCGTATTCGAGATATTTGAGAAAATGTGTAAATTTCGAATTTTGAAGAAAACTCAAAAACGGATAAAGAAAAAACATTACATTTTAAATTTAAGTTTTATTTCGGCCTGACGTGAAATGATTAGATTTTTTACAGTCGGAACATCTGGGGGGGTAATTTATGGGAGGCCGTTTTTATATTTTATGGATTATGTCTGTTATTTATGTTTGGAGAAGAAAATTGTTCAAATAACAGTTATCTATAATTTTTGTTTTATGTCAAAATTTCCTGAAATGGTCCGTATTCGAGAAATTTTACAAAATGTGCAAAATTCTGATTTTTATGAAAATTGTTGAACTAAAAGTTGTTTGCGATATCGATCCCTATAATTTTTGTTTATATATGATTTTTCTAAAATGGACCGTAATTGAAAAATTGGAGGAAGAGTGCTAAATTTAAATTTTTCAGTATTTTCGTTTTCAATGAATATCTATAGAAAAATGTTTCGAGGTAGATGTATGTGGAAAATGTATATATTTAGTTTATCCTCTAAATATTTATAGAGGTGCTGCAATAGGTTGTACAAAATAACCGGAAAGAGCCTATAATAGATAGGAAAGTCATGTGTTGAACACATCAGATTTTTTTTAATTTTGTGATGAAGAGCGGTATTAAAAAAACATAATTTATTTACTTATACGATAGCACGCCGTATGACAGCGACGATGACGTCGAGTATGATGACGATATGGAAGGAGATAGTTTAATTAGTATATAAGTATTCGATTTTGAAGATATATACAGGGTGTTCCATCTCAGACGAGCCACCCCGTATATT